AATATAGAAGATAAGTCAAGAGATGTAGGGAAATGGAAATAGATGTTTATAAAGAGTCATAGGAGAACAAATATAAGTAATATGATAATGAAATATAAGACAATGTGAATACATGGTTATGAGATAAAAGATGTAAGAATAGGAAAATATGGTGAGAGTGAGTTCATGAGAAGTGATATGAACTAGGTAAACATGAGTTGGACAAGTACATAGTGATATGATCCATCATGGGAATTAGTATAATAGAGCTTTTGATTTAATGAGAGTTAAAGGAACTAAGTAAGATTGAATTATAGAATGAAATGGGAATAATATATCAATTAGGAAACTTGAATATAAAGGGACGATACGAATATGCAAGATAAGTTATATGCTAAATATCTATGGAGCTATATGAAAAGATTATAACGAAATTGTGAAATTGAATTAAGTAAATAGATTAAATTATTACCTAAATAAAAATACTATTAAATGATATATATTTAGAAATACGATATAAGCTATGTGAAAGTGTTCTAGGTGTTTCTATATGTTATATGAAGTATATGATCATATGTGAACAAGATATGATAAGTATGTTTACATGAATAAATGTGATTGGGTGAGAAATGATAGAAAGTATATGAAAACATGTATAGGTGAATTAGCTTTGTAATTAGGTAAATATATGAAATCATAACTATGAATTATGTGATGTGAAAGTAATCTATGTGATTATATGTTATATGAATACAAGAACATGAGATATGTGACATGTGAATTATATGGAAATGATCTACGTGTAAGTGAACTATGTGACTATGTGATAATATGAAAAGAAGCTATGTGATACGTGATATGTGAAAATGAATTACATGTTTATGTGAATATTTGAAATGAAATAAATGATAATGCCCATGTTATGTGTCATGAGAGCTAGGGGTATAGTTGGCATGCCAAGAGTCGAGGGTCTATGCGGTCCTTCGGGACATATGTATATTCTTTGGAACATTTATGAGGTCTTTGAGGCACATACTTGGTCCTTAGTATATGTATATGATTCTTAAGGAATGATATGTGGTCCTTATGGACATTATTATATGGCACTACGGTACAATTCTATGCGGTCCTTCGGGATATATATATATTCTGTGGAACATGTGTGAAGTCTTGTAAGACACATACTTGATCCCTAGTATATGTATATGATTCTTAAGGAATGATATGTGGTCCTTATGGACATTATTATAAGGCACTACGGTGCAATTCTACGCGGCACTACGGTGCAATTCAACGTGCACTTCGGTGCAATGATACGAGTTGTGGTGACAGATTAGTGCACAACCTCTATAGACTCACATATCGATAGTTCTCACAAGTGTACCATGGGCTAATCAAAGAGATAACATAAATACAATATATATAATGCATATGCTTTTGGTGAAATGATATATGAGTGATATGATATACAGAAAGGATAAGTACAAGATTATGTGATAAATAATTCGATGATAATGATAGAGATAATGATAATAATATATATGATAATGCTAAGAAAGTAGATGATGATATATGTACATGAGTGTCTTTGTTATATAAAAAGGTATATGATTTTGTATGATAAATTAGTATTAAATGTTCATGTGTTTTGTTATATGAGATGTTTTTATGATTTCTATTATATGTTTTATTTGCCTCACTAAGTCATCGACTTAGCGTGTGATTGTTTCACACGCAGGTTCGAGAAGAATATAGAGAGCAATGTGGAGCAAGACAGGTCAGTTCTCCTTACCAAATGTCAGATCAGAAAATATATGTACTGTTTATAGAGTGTAGTTGGCATGTAGTCTAAGGATATAAATTGTATGAACTCTGATATATTTTGTAAACGTTTTGAATAAGTTAAATGTTATCAAAGTTTTTAAATTACTCACTATTTTATACAAGTAAATGTTTTGAAAAGTTAATGTGACACCTCGGACTCGAATCCAGGTCGGGTACGGGTTGGGGGTGTTACAGCGAGCCTAAGCTCACCAACTTCTATTAACAGACTAACCTCTTCTATTAACAGACTAACCACCTAGCTAACCATACTAATAAAATAACTGTCTGCTTACACGTGTATTACATCTCTAACAGTACTCTAACATGTCCTGATAATTCATTATTTTAGAAATGAATTTGCATCAACTGATGTAGTTATAAAGTGGAGGATCACCCCTAAGATTAATATAATTATAATGCTTTCTAATTCGTATATTTAAAAGTGGAGGATCACCCCTAAAAAACAATTAATTGAGTTTCAATTTCCTCTTTTAAATATACGAATTAGAAAGTATTATATTAATCTTGGGGGTGATCCTCCCCTTTAGAACTACATCACTTGATGCAAATTCCTTTCTAAAATAATGAATTATCAGGACATAATAACGTCGTCTTGTTATCTAGCTAATTTGTTATCTAATATTTGTAAGTGTTAATCGGTCTATTTTTACATAACTATTTCTTACGCAAGCAAAATCAAAGTCCAACCATTTCCCAAGAAGAAAACCCTCCATTAAAACTCCCATTGACAGTTCCACGGCCACTAACTTCCCATTGACAGTCTTCTCCGATGAAAAGTTTTCCCTACAATTGAATCTGGCCATTGAAACTCTGATTTTGTTCCCCCACAATCAAAAACCATCAACTCTAAACAATGCCCTGCGAGCATCTTGAATGGACAAGAATCCAACGAAGCCAAAACGAGAGATAACACAACATATGAAAATATGGTTAATACATAATGAACTCATATTTGAAAATGAGCAAATATAATAATACTTGTTGCTTTTATATATTTGCATTAGGGGTGTAAACGAGCCGAGTCGAGCTCGAGTATTGCTGAGCTCGACTCGACTCGAAAACTTTGAAATAAAACTCGACTCGACTCGAAAACTCGCGAGCATAAAATTTTCAAGCTCAACTCGAACTCGAAATCCTAAACTAAAACTCGTGAGCAGCTCGAAAAGACTCGAAATGAAAATTTTTTTTTTAAACTTAACTCGTTTGAAGCCTCAAACTCGAACTCGAACATGAACCTTAAATACAAGAAATCTTACTGTATTTTTTATAAAAAAATCAATACATAAATATTAATATTATTAATAATTTATTTCTAAAAAAAATAAAATTTTAATATATTATATTTTCGAGCTACTCACGAGCTTTTCGACTCGAATATCGAGTAGCTCGTTTCGGCTCGTTAAGAACTCGAGTCGAGCTCGAGTCGAGTCCATTCGATCCGAGTATTTATCGAGCCTTGATCGAGTCAATCTCGAGTAGCTCGTGATCTGTCTCGTCTCATTTACAGCCCTAATTTGCATAGCTGATAAGACTAATAACGTGACACAAGTAGACGGTGCATCTCATATAGCAGCAGTCGGCTTAATAAAGTAGAATGCATTGCCTTTTCAAACACATGCTAATGAAAATACAAAATAATGCAACGTAATTTTGATCTGTAACAGGACAGAATATTTGCATATTTTCTTTCCATTAATCCTTCTTTATTCATTATTCTTCTGACCCTCTTAGGTGGATCCTAATGAAAGAAATCCATCCAATCCAACACCTAAGCTCGTTTGCTTATATATGTGGAGAGTCTTGTGTTCCACGCTTTGCCTCTAGGATAAATGCCACTTCTTTGGAACATATGTTTTGGCCCCTTGTTATATGCTTTATGGTAGGGCCATCGTGCATGTCCACCGGATCTTAACTTCAATCGCATTTTTTTATTTGGTTAGGGTCAACATAAAGTAATATAGGTTTAAAAGACTCTTAAGTTGACAATTAATATTCATACACTAATGCATATGTCGTTTTCTAATCTGGAAATTCAAGAGATAATAACAACCGCTTAACCATTAAGATCGTTTGGTTCGTACAAAATCAATAGCATTTTAGATCTTGGTCTTTATATAATCTAATTAAATATTAATATAGATTCTATAAAAATAATTTTCGTAAAATAAATTATATTATTTAAAAATTTATTTTATAAATTTATTTATTGGTGTTTGAACCCGTTATATAAATTATTTTATGTTATTTATTAGTTATTTTAAAAATTGCACATTGTAAATTTCTTTATTATATAATATAGTTTAAGTATTATATTAATAAATTTTACTAATAAAGATTGATTCAAGTGGTAAGTACATTGATATTGCTTAAGCAAAGTCTCGTGTTCGAGTTCTTGTGTATGGATAAAATGTATGCTGGGAAACTCACCCATCAAAATCAAGTGTGCAACGCAGATCGATCTCGATTAATCAAAGTGAAGCATTGAAAATGGAAGGACAACAATAAAAAATAAGTAAATAAATAAATTTTATATCGTTACTCATTTATATCCTTTCTATAGGAAATATTCTATATCAATAGAGATAAAACTAAATTAAAATTATTGATATTTTTTATTGAGAAAATTAACTAAACCTTTACAGAAAAATCTAATAAGTTATGATTTATAATTAAATTTAACGCTCTAATAACTTATAAATCTATATAATATTAGTGGATTATAATATTTTACGAGTTTCTATCGTTTTATTTTTCCATTATAAATTTAGAGGAAGGTAAAGATTATAAATTTTTGAACGTTGAGTAATATGTTAATTAAACCTTTAATAAGTGATATTACGTAGATTTATATTTTAAATATATTTTAGGCGATTATAGTTATATTCATTATTGATAACGAATGAGAACGAAACACGTATCCAACTTTTTAATTTTAAAAAGGAAAAACAGAATGCCTAAATATCCATCGTCAGCAACGAGTCGTTTTTCACTCCAAAGTAGCTTCCCCCATATTCGAAGGGCTAACTTTACTCTCAAAACAAAAGCCTTTTCTTTCATTATAAATTGTAGCCCAAAACAAGACCAAAAAACACACTCTGAGAGAACAACAGCAGCAGGTTAACTTCATTACTTCTAATCTCTTGTTGTTGTTATCGGCCAAACGAGAAAAGATGATGAGAGAGAGAATGAGAGAAGTGGCACCGTTCACGGTGATGGTCATAATGGAAGCTTGCACCATAGCATTGACGATATTGGCCAAAACGGCCTTAACAGGAGGGCTTAGCCCTTTTGTTTTCGTGGTGTATACCAACGCTATTGGCTCTTCTTTGCTTCTCCATTTTTCCTTCCTTTATCATCGTAGGGAAAGGTCTCTAGCTATATATATATATCTTCCCTCTCCATATAATTACATGTACAGTACGTTCGTAAACTTTGTTTTCTATTCCAGTTCTTCACCATTGTTTTTCTTTCTCATTAATTGCAGAACACAACAGTCTCTCTTTACTTTCCCACTCCTCCGTATATTTTTCCTGGGTTTAAAAGGGTGACTTTCTGTTCATTTACATCGTCCTTTGCAGTTTCCTAAGCTATTTCTTCATCTTCTTTAATGTGAAAATTGACCCCTTTTTATGGATGTTGATTTATTGGATTGCTATATCTCAGAACCTTGCATTCCTTGGGCTAAGCTATAGTTCACCAATCGTTGTATGCGCAACGGGACTCCTACTACCTTCTATTTCCTTCTTATTTTCCATCATTCTAAGGTACTTCTTAGTTTTATCTCCAACATCATTTTTATTTTCTTGTTTAGATCGAAGGAAAAACATGCAAGAAAACACACAATCTTAATATTCAAAGTTGACGATAGACCATGCATGTAAGTATTAACTGAATGCATATATATAAATATATCAGTGCTGACTGACATTTCATAATTATCACAGGACGACAAAGCTGCATTGTGAAAGCTCAGGCTGTCAAGCCAAATTGATTGGAACTTTGGTCTCAATCGCGGGAATCATTGTAGTAGAACTATACAGAGGCCCATTCATACGAGCATCACCGGTTTCACTTTCCCACCCGCTTCAACTTATACCTAAACATTTTGTTTTCTACTCCACGCCTGATCGTTGGTTTCTTGGCGGACTTTTGCTTGCAGCTGCTAACTTGTCCATTTCGATATGGAATACCATTCAGGTATAACAATATATCAAGATCAGTTCTTGGGTTTGTTTCCTTGACATCTTGTGCACTTTTATCATTCAAAACAATACAAACGCTTTGTTTGTCAGGTGGGGACCGTCAAGCAATATCCTCAAGTGATCAAAGTGGCCTCTTTTTACAGCTTAGTTGGGACTATCCAATGTCTGGTTTTTTCTTTGTTTATGGAGAGAGAGATAAATGCATGGAAACTTAAACACAAGAGGGATCTCCTACTCATTATTGTGACAGTAAGAAACCTAAAAAAAACCCTGAAATTTTGCTAACACTAAGTATCAGCTAATGATGGTTACGTTATAGGGGATGTTCGGGAGTATTATCCGTAGCAATGTTCATTTAGCATGTACGAGAATGAAAGGCCCTTTTTACGTGCATATGTTCAAGCCATTCGGGATACTCTTTGCAACAATTTTCGGAACCAGTTTCCTTACAAACAGCCTTCAGTATGGAAGGTAACCAAACACTTTTCTTCCTTTAACGTGATTTCATTTCCTTTACCTCTCAAATCTTAATATTAAAGATTTTGACAGCGTAATAGGGACGATTATAGTTGGAACCGGATATTATGCTTTGATGTGGGGACAAATCAAGGAAGCAGAGCTTCGTAAAGAGCGAGATGTCGAAAAAGTGGATGATATTTCAGACGACCGCAAGACCTCTCTCTTGCAGGAGCAAGAAGAAGAAACCCTTGTCTAGAGTGTTAAAAGTCATCATGGGCGGCTAATCTTCTAGATGGCAGCCAAATATTTTGATTTAATTCAAATATGATTGTATTTTGTTGAAAAAAAAGGGATAATTATTTAGGGGTTTTCCACGTAAATTTTGTGTCTTTTTTATCTTCATTTTTATTTTCTCAAATTATCAGTTGCGATTTGCTCTATCCGATAGCCGTCTTCCGCAACAATTGGTATCCGAGCTAGATTAGAGTGTGTAATATATGCTTATTGTCTTTGTGGTTGCCACCAAAAGGTGGATCGTCCAATATAAGAAAATAAGAAGTTATTACCCATTCTTTGAAGGTTCCAGAGAACTATTCACGATAGTGAAATAGTGGGAGCTATCCGTAAAAGAAGCTATGGCAACGAAATTTGATATTGAAAAATTCAATGGGAGAAATTTCTCATTGTGGAAATTGAAGATAAAGGCCATCCTAAGGAAAGACGAGTGTCTAGCGGCTATCAATGAAAGGCCGGTGGATTTCGCAGATGACATCAAATGGAACGAGATGGACGGGAATGCTATAGCAAACTTTCATCTAGCATTAGCAGATGAAGTATTGTCAAGCATCGAGGAGAAGAAGACAACTAAGGAGATATGGGATCATCTTACCAAATTGTACGAGGCAACATCGCTGCACAATAAAATTTTCCTTAAGAGGAAATTGTACACTCTCCGTATGTCAGAATCTACTTTAGTGACGGAACACTTAAATACACTGCACACCTTATTTTCTCAGCTTACATCCTTAAACTGTAAAATAGGAGAACAAGAATGTGCTGAACTTCTACTTCAAAGTCTACCGGATTCGTACGATCAACTCATCATCAACTTGACAAACAGTAATGTCACCAGTCTAGTCTTCGATGACGTTGCAGCTGCTATTCTACAAGAAGAAAATCGGCGCAAGAACAAGGAAGACAGACAAGTAAATCTGTAACAAGCAGAAGCGTTGACAACGATGAGAGGGAGATCAACAGAACGTGGCCAAAGCAACAATCATAAACATGGTAGATCGAAGTCGAGGAGCAAGAAGAATTTAAAGTGCTACCACTGTGGAAAGAATGGACACTTGAAGAAGGATTGCTGGAGTCTAAATAAAAACTCTAATCCACAAGGCAATACCGCAAACACTTCAGATGATGGAGATGCTCTATGTTGTGAAGCGTCAACCACCGTGGAAGGAAGAAAACGATTTACAGATATATGGCTCATTGATTCGGGAGCAACATATCACATGACCTCAAGAAGAGAATGGTTCCATCATTATGAACCAGTCTCAGGAGGATCTGTGTATAGTTGCAATGATCATGCCTTAGAAATCATTGGCGTGGGAACCATCAAATTGAAGATGTATGATGGAACAATTAAAGTTGTTCGAGATGTGCGGCACGTGAAAGGTTTGAAGAAAAATTTATTATCCTACGGATTGTTGGATAATAATGCTAGAAAGATTGAAACACGAAAAGGAATCATGAAGGTGTTCCGTGGAGTGCTTGTGGTGCTGAAAGGTGAAAAGATAGCTGCAAACTTGTACATGCTGAAGGGAGAGACATTGCTAGAAGCAGAAGCCTCTGTTGCCTCATGTAGTTCAGATTCTGCAATGCTATGGCATAAGAAACTTGGACACATGTCAGAACAAGGAATGAAAGTCCTTGTGGAGCAAAAGCTACTTCCAGGCTTAACAAATGTATCACTTACTTTGTGTGAGCATTGCATAACAAGTAAGCAGCACATGTTGAAATTTAACACATCAAATTCTAGAGGCAAAAGTGTTCTAGAATTGATTCACTCTGACGTATGGCAAGCACCAGTAACATCCCTAGGTGGAGCAAAATACTTTGTCTCATTTATTGATGACTACTCCAGGAGATGTTGGATGCACCCTATTAAGAAGAAGTCATACGTGTTTTCAACTTTCAAAAACTTCAAAGCGCGGGTGGAACTTGATTCTGGAAATAAGATCAAGTGTTTCAGAACAGATAATGGAGGAGAATACACAAGCGAAAAATTTGATGACTTTTGCAAGAAAGAAGGCATCAAAAGACAGTTCACAGTGGCGAACACTCCTCAACAAAATGGAGTGGCAGAGCGGATGAACAGAACCTTGTTAGAAAGAACAAGAGCAATGTTTAGGGACGCAGGCCTAGAAAAATCATTCTGGGCAGAAGCAGTCAATACCGCCTGTTATTTGGTGAATCGAGCTCCATCAACTGCAATAGAGCTGAAGACACCAATGGAGATGTGGACTGCTGAACCAGTTGATTATTCAAACCTCCATGTATTTGGAAGTATTGTGTACGTGATGTACAACGCCCAAGAAATTTCAAAGCTGGATCTAAAATCCAGGAAATGCAAATTCTTGGGGTATGCTGATGGAGTAAAGGGGTATCGCTTGTGGGATCCCACTGCCCGCAAAGTGATCATCAGTAGAGATGTTATCTTTGTAGAAGATAAACTACAAAGAAAAGAAGACGATGATAGCGCTGAAAAGTCAGAGACTACACAGATACATGTGGAAAAGGAGTTTGAACAAGGAGATTCTTCTAAAGCAGAACCAACACATGATGAACAAGAACCAGAGAGTTCTGAAGCTCCAACAACTCATCAATCAGATCGTGTGAGAAGACGTCCCAATTGACACTCAGATTATGTTATAGAAGGAAATGTTGCATACTGTCTTTTAACAGAGGACGGTGAGCCATCAACATATCAGGAGGCAATAAACAGCTCAGATGTTTCACTATGGATAATGGCGATGCAAGAAGAAATCGAAGCCCTTCATAAAAATAATACATGGGACCTTGTGCCACTACCACAAGGAAGGAAGCCAATTGGTACCAAATGGGTTTTCAAAATCAAGCGAAATGGTGACGATCAAGTGGAGAGGTATCGTGCAAGACTGGTGGTCAAAGGGTATGCTCAGAAAGAAGGTATTGATTTCAATGAAATATTTTCTCCTGTGGTTCGACTAACAACAGTTCGAGTAGTCTTGGCAATGTGTGCTACATTGAATTTACATTTGGAACAGCTAGATGTTAAAACAACTTTTCTTCATGGAAATCTTGAAGAAGAGATTTATATGCTCCAGCCTGAAGTTTTTGAAGAAGACGAAAAGAAGAACTTGGTTTGCAGGTTGAACAAATCTCTGTACGGTCTAAAGCAGGCGCCGAGGTGTTGGTATAAGAGATTTGATTCCTTCATTATGTGCCTTGGATACAACAGACTTAATGCAGACCCTTGTGCTTATTTCAAGAGGTCTGGTGATAACGATTTTGTTATATTGTTGTTGTATGTGGATGACATGTTGGTTGCAGGACCCAAAAAAGATCATATTGAAGAATTAAAGGCACAACTGGCTAGGGAATTTGAAATGAAGGACTTGGGATCAGCAAACAAGATTCTAGGGATGCAAATTCATCGAGACAGAAGTAATAAGAAGATTTGGCTTTCACAAAAGAATTACTTGAAGAAAATCTTGTCACGATTTAGCATGCAAGATTGTAAGCCAATTTCTACCCCTCTTCCTATTAACTTCAAATTATCCTCCAGTATGAGTCCTAGCAGTGAAGAAGAGAGGATAAAGATGTCTCGAGTATCGTATGCATCAGCAGTGGGAAGTTTAATGTTCGCTATGATATGCACAAGACCAGACATTGCACAAGCAGTGGGAGTGGTTAGTCGGTACATGGCGAATCCAGGCAAAGAGCATTGGAATATTGTAAAGAGGATCCTAAGATACATCAAAGGGACCTCAAATGTTGCATTATGTTATGGAGGATCAAACTTACTTATAAATGGGTATGTCGATTCTGACTATGCAGGGGATTTGGATAAAAGCAAATCTACTACATGATATGTGTTCAAAGTTGTTGGTGGAGCTGTAAGCTGGGTTTCAAAATTGCAGTCAGTTGTGGCTACATCCTCAACAGAGGCAGAATATGTAGAAGCTACACAAGCCAGTAAAGAAACAATTTGGTTGAAGATGCTATTGGAGGAGCTTGGGCACAATCAAGAGTTTGTCTCTCTGTTTTGTGACAGTCAAAGCGCCTTGCATCTAGCAAGGAATCCAACATTTCATTCAAGGACAAAACACATACGAGTTCAATACCATTTCATTCGTGAAAAAGTGGAAGAAGGGACGGTAGATATGCAGAAGATTCATACCAAAGACAACATAGCAGATTTCATGACGAAGGCGATCAACGCTGATAAATTTACCTGGTGTCGATTCTCTTGTGGCCTGTCAGAAACGTAAGAAACATGAAGGTACAAGGTAGAAAGAATGGTGTGAAGATATGATTGTTCCAATCAAATCTTCAAGTGAGAGATTGTTAAAAGTCATCATGGGCGGCTAATCTTCTAGATGGCAGCCAACTACTTTGATTTAATTCAAATATGGTTGCATTTTGTTGAAAAAAAGGGATAATTACAATATTTTAATCTTTAAACTTTAGGGTATTTACAAGATTAAGTCCTTAAGATTTAGCTATAAATACCCTATCCCATTTAGCTTCAAAATTATCCCAAAGCATTCTAGTTTTCTTCCAATACTAGAGAGAATTTAGAGAGTTTCTTGAGAGTTGTTTTCTCCTTTTTTATCAAGAGAGAATTATCATTGTTTTCTCCTTGGTCGATCGAGAGAAGTTGTAATTTATATTTTCTCATAGTGAAATTCTTCTACCATTGCCCGTGGTTTTTACCCTATATTATTTAGGGGTTTTTCACGTAAATTTTGTGTCTCTTTTATCTTCATTTTTATTTTCTCAAATTATCAGTTGCGATTTTGCTCTATCCGATAGCCGTCTTCCGCAACATAGAGTCAGGCCAAGGAAGCACCACAATTATTATTGAATGAAATAAAGTGGGAAGCTTCCCTTTTTTGCATATAAAATGAAAGCTTCATCAACTAATGAGCAGATCATTCAAACCAGAAGTTGCTGTGATTTGGTATAAGCCTCTTCTACTACAAATATGCATATATATATATATATATGATGGCCTGGGCCCTTGCTTTTCCCTGCTTGTTGGAAGTTTGAGGATAGATTCATAAGTTTTAAATGCTTCTGTCATGTATGGTTTCTGCTTGAATAAACAAAGTCGTGAAAAAAAACCAGAAATCATTTATCTGATATATTTATGTATTGTGGTATATAAAATAATTGATGCTTTTGAAGGTTTCTTTTGGTTTATTTACCTGCTCATGTGATTATATATTGCTTGCTGTATTTTTATTGTCTTTTTGGTCCTAATAAATTGTCTTTAAAATCTCAACTTCGTAGTCTTCTCCCTTTCTAAAGCTGTAAAATGTTTAAAGTTTAAAAATTAATTACTAGACAGACGATTTATTATTTGTATTACTAAACTTTCAATTGTTAATAGCTATTAATTTTGATTTTGAATTCAATTATATTGCTGATATTAACTTTTAACAGCGTGATAATGTAGATGTATCTTTTCTTCACTTAATAACATGAATAAAATAAAATCATTTTGGTGTTTCTATTGATGCCCAAAATAACATTGTTTTAGGCACTAAAGTTTAGGAATGTATCGATTTTATTAGTAAACTTTAAAAAATAATTTTAGACACTACATTTTTTACTGTTGCTGGCAGTCAATCGTTACTCGTCACTGACTACCATTCACAGCAAGATCGATATCAAAATATATATATTTCACTCATCTTTCTTCTCATTAGATTGGATTTCACAAAACCCACTCGAAATAATACTTTGATCTCCTCTAATGGTGATCCGATGAGACTAGTTTTGACACATGTTATTTGTTTTCTCAAAATAATATTTTCCGTTTGGATTTTCAAGCAAACACTCCAAACTCCTCAAATCCAATAAATTCTCTAAACTCCTAAAAATGATAGATTTTTTGTTTAACTCCGTTGATTTTGAGTGAGTTTTGTGAAAAACTCATCATAGGAAAAGAAAGAAGAGTAAAATGTAAACATTTTGATACTGAGCTACAACTGGTGATCAATGACAGGAGGTGATTCACTACCAACGACGGTTAGAAAAGTGCAATGCCTAAAAGTTAACAGTTTAAAAGTTTAGCGACAAATTGATACATTACTAAAGTTTAGTGTTTAAAACGGTCGTATTAGGCATCAGTAGTCACACCAAAAGAGTGTCGTCTTGTCCATGTCAGATTAGATTTTAACAGTCAAGAAATATAATTAAAATCAAAACTAAAGTTTAATGCTCTAATTAGAGCAACTAAAAGTTTAATAATATTATTGATATCGCTTGAGTGTAATAATATCTAGTATAGTTTACCCTAAATTCAAAATAAAATTTTATATAGAAAAAATTCATTATAATTTATGTATTTCAATAAACACATATTTTTAACGAGTGGCAATATAATTTTCCACGATCAAATGATTTTTCCAGAAATGATTGTATTTTTTTTATAAAATGATTGAATGTTAATTAGATATAGGATTTGAGAGAGTGATGATGTAATTATTATTGAGCAGGCGATCGGTCGTTAAGGTAATATGTCATAATCTAATGCAAATGCAGTTAAATGCAAATACGTTTTCGTAAACCTTGCTTCAAGTTTTGGCATCATCCTACACTGCTATTTAATGCTTTCTTATCTTCTTCTTCTTCAGATTGAATATTTCCTTCTAATAAAAGAATCTAAAGTAACTAATACAGAAACATAAACGCCGGTTTGTTCTAATTCCATAAAAGAAACAAAATAATCTTAAACAACGCTACACAATATTATAAATAAGCCGCATAAAATTCGATTTGATTCAAAATAATTTATTTTTTAATTTTAAATTAATTTCAAATTTTAGTTCAAATTTTAAATTCAAATCAAGTTCAAATTTATAAAGTTTGAATAATTTAAAAAAAAAACTGAAAATTAAAATGAGAATACTTTAATCATTAATTGAAATATCTGATTTTTTTCTTCGATTTCTCTTTCTTTTTAAGTCTATTTTTATATCAATCTTGAACTATATGTTTCCAGATCAATGTAGAATACATGTGTATTTCAATTTTTTTTGGATAACATTTTTTTTTTCAATTTAATTCTCTAACTATAATTTTTTTTTACAAATTCCTTATTCTTATCGATTTCTTAACTCTTTTATACTCTCATCAATATTTTATTCACACCTCTCTTTTTTTAAAAATAACATTATAAATATATTATATAATCTTATATGATATTGTCACGATCGAGAGAGAAGAGAGAAGAAACGAAGGACGTGAAGAAGAAATTAGGGGAAATGAAAGTCAAGGGTAAGGGATTGATAGTGAATTGGGGATGAGTTACCTGATAAGTGATCATGTGAGGAGCACGAGAAAGCTAATGACCCATCAGGAGAGCTGAAGTTCACGAGCAGATCAGCTAGCCTAGTTGGTGGCCCAATATTTGAGGAAATAACAGAACAGTTATTCAAGGACAAACAACTGACATTTAGTTAGATTTGATGGTACCATGTAAAGAAATAAAACCAGTATTGTGTAAAGAACAATCAAGCATATTTTGAATGAAATCATATTTCTGTTATCTCTATTCTACTCTTTTCTCTACGGTTTCTTCTTCTCTATTTCCCTAAACTATCTCATTCATCACAGATATTTGATTTATTAAATAATATTACAAACTTTATTATCCATGTAAAAAATACATGTTCATTTTCTATAGTTAGAGAGGTTTATTTAAATTGAGACTATCATTATCTTGACATCGAAAATATTTATATTTAAATTTGAATAGAAACTCAAATAAATATATCCAATTCAGATTGAAAAAAAAAATCAAATAAAATTTAAATGATAAATATTCAAAAAATTTCTTCTAACTCGATGGAATACTTGCCCCTGTTTATAATAACTCAGTTATTACATGATATAATGATTTCTATCTATAATGCATACCTGAAAGGAAGAATTGGTGGTATCTTAGGCCACCACGATGCTGTAAAATGAAATAAAATAAGGAGCAATCCCTTAGTGTGGGTTTGGTTCACGGAATGTAAGATTACCAGTGAGAATAAAATATTATCAGGGAATAGGACTACTAGAAATGTTGTATTTTGTGTTAAGATTACAAGTGAGAATAAAATATTACCAGGGAATAGGATTACTGGAAATGTTGTATTTTGTGTTTGGTTGGTTTAGCAGGAATGTAAGATTACTGTGTTTGGTTAAAGGAATAAAAGATTATTGGAATGTATATTTGACCAAATTATTCTTATTATATATTTGTATAATATTACAAGTTGTAAAATATTTATATATATTTTTAAAAAAAAAATTAAATTCATAATATTTATATAATTTTTTTACAAAATTTTTAATTTAACCTTGATAGAATTTTTATTATTCAATGACAGAAGAATGATATTTTTGAAAAAAAATAATAATTTAAGGGCATTTTAATCCAAAACGCCGGTAATGTTACAATACCTAAGGGAATGGAGATAATGACATTCCCGGTAATATACCCAAAAAATCCACTATTGGTAATAAAATATTACCGGAAATGACATTTCCGGCCAAACCAAGCGGGAAAACGCCCCCTTAGATTGTCATTTCCATGACAACAGTAATGTTTTTTGAATTTCTAAAATGGTAGTTATAGTTTGGAAGAAAATAATCATGGAGAATGCCACTAAAACAAATCAATGAAAGCATCCTCTCAACGGCTACCCTCAAAATCTCCTTTCAAAAGCCTAAAAAAAAGGCAAAAGAAAACTGCATGGAGAAAGACATAGTAATAGCAATAGTAGCTTCAATTTCAAAACCAACTTTCTTTTTCCCTTTCACCTGCCTTTTCTTTTCCTTCAAGTACCAACTCTCCATCTGATATAAGTTTGTTGGAAAAAAATGGTCTATACCTCTTTTTCAGGCACATCCTGAGAATCATTTCCTTTTCTTCATATTGTTCAAGCATTAATCTGTCAATTCAATCACCAAGCACAGGTGATTCCATCCGAGGAAGGACATACAATGCCTCTCCGCTTCGTCTCAGTATGGAAAAAACGCCGGAGATGCAACACCCGGGATCATACTGATCCTTGAATGTTATTTTCCTTCACATCATAGCCACTTCATCCTTTGGCAGTGGTTTATATATATATATAAAAGTTCCAACATCTTACATTCCTACTTGCAGGGATTTATAAACCTGCAGAGTACTGGGGAATTGAGGATCAAATGCACCAACCAACAAAACGTCGTCACGGGTCGTCAATTTTCACACTCAAGGAGATGGAGGAGGCAACATGTTCTTTCAGTGACAAGAATCTGCTCGGGAAAGGAGGGTTTGGCCGAGTCTACAAGGGCACTCTACGATCAGGGGAGGTATTTATAATCTTTCCTAATGTTTGAGTAGCAATAGCTTTGTTTTTTCCATGCATGAGTTATGCTTCAATAGGCGGTAATGAACCAAAGAGCAATAGAAAACATACAAATGCTCTCTTTCTGTGATCTGAAGGTTGTTGCAATCAAGAAAATGGAGCTGCCACCATCCAAAGAAGTTGAAGGAGAACGGGAATTCCGTGTTGAAGTTGATATCTTGAGCAGACTTGACCATCCGAACCTGGTTTCGTTGATAGGTTATTGTGCAGACAGGAAGCACCGGTTTCTAGTCTACGAATACATGCAAAAAGGGAACTTGCAAGATCACTTAAATGGTAGGTTTCTACTCAAGTCTGTTCCCAACCTAGTCCCTCATTCATTTAACATATATCAAATCTTAAACTGCTAAAATAGGTATTTGTGAAAAGAAACTGGATTGGCCTTCAAGGCTCAAAGTGGCAATCGGTGCATCTATGGGACTTTCTTATCTCCATTCTAATTCTGCAGTTGGAATTCCTATAGTTCACAGAGATTTCAAGTCCACAAATGTTCTTCTAAATGACAACTTCAAAGCAAAGGTAAGAAACTTACAAAATTTTTCAGCCAGGGTTGATATTGTAAAGCATATTCATCACTAAAACTCGATTTTCTACTCTTTACAGATATCAGACTTTGGACTGGCCAAACTGATGCCAGACGGTCAAGAGATTGATGTGACTGCCAGAGTTCTTGGCACATTTGGCTATTTCGATCCCGAGTATACATCAGTATGCATCTTAATGTCATAAACTTGTTCCCTACATTTCTCTTCTAATTCCTAACAAAAAGTATAGATAAGTCTAAAATACTAGGAAAACAAACTCTTATACAACAAATATCTCATTCTTTAACTTTCATTAGAAAAAATACTAGATGTTAGATTTTGTTCAACAAAATTAGATTAGCAACATCAAGCATGATCTCGGTTTTTCATTCGTCTTCTCTTATGAAAGACAGGAAAATTAACTTTACAGAGTGATGTTTATGCATTCGGAGTGGTTCTTCTAGAGCTTTTGACCGGACTTAGAGCTGTAGACTTAAACCAGGGAGCAAGTGACCGAAACCTTGTAGCCCAGGTATGTTACAAGTAATAACAGCTTATAATTCAAAGAGGTTATGGCTCTCAGGTTTCAAGGACTTGCAACAAATAAGTTGGCGGTCTATGTTACAGGTTAGGCACATATTGAATGATACGAAGAAATTACGTAAGGTGATTGACCCAGAGATAGCTCGAAGTTCATACACCATCGAATCTATAGCAATGTTTGCAAAGCTAGCATCACGCAGTGTCCGTGCTGAGAGCAGAGAGCGACCCTCAATGCCAGAATGTGTGAAAGAACTACAACTGATTTTCTGTACAAATGCAAAAGGCCTAGGGCTCGCCTTTTAGGATGGGTTGCGAAATGCAATTTTTTTACCAGCAGTAAAACTGTACAATATCGACAATAAGGACACCACGAGCTAAGAGCAAACACTATTACCGGGGAACTTTGATAAGAGGCCTCAAAAAGACAAGGTATTTGAATCATCTATGAGTCTAAATAAAAGAAATATTAGTAGGATTCATGTTGAAGAGATAATATATCCCTGCATTTGTTCTAGTTAGCATCACCAGTTTGTTTGATAATATTTTGCTTAATGCAGCTAATTCTATGTATTGTACATTGTGTGAACACAGTTAAATTTTACACCCAAAAAATGTGAACCAATAGTGATCTTTGATATAGTTTACAGCAACAATAACGAAAGCACATAGATAGACATCTCATTTTATCCCTTCCTTGATCATAAGTTCGTGCTCAAAAATATGTTAACAAAGCAAGAGAGAGGAAGTGCATTAGAAGTTTGTCTAATACAATAACTTGAAAAAAAGTGATAAAAGAAATGGATATGCTGGATGCAGTTTACCCTTCAAGTGTGCTCTACCATGCACATGATAAGTCAAAAACTAAACACAATGAGATATTTCAAGTAGCCATCGAATTCTTAGTACCACATCCACCCAAAGGGATGATCCTAGCAAGCTTTCTGAACTCCATAAGGGACTATGAAAAGAGACAACGCAGCAGAAAAAATAGAAGAACAAAATCATCTCCTCGAACAAGCAGAAAAAATTGACAGGTTTATGACAATGATCAACAACAGGAGAAGAGGGAGTAAGAGTTTCAGTAAAAAACATGGGTTTTATGTGTGAGCCGAACAGCTCTTAGCTCAAATGGTTATGATTACAGTATGATTGCAACTTATACATTTATGAGAGAAGTTCCTCACCGGATTCTGACATCCGACTCTGAGAAACTGCTAGAAACCGGGAGTTTCTTGCACATCAAGTGCTTCCGTCTCTGTAATGTCAGAAAGATAAAGATACTGTCCGTCGGAACAGCATTGTATCCTGCTTTTATGTACATGTTGAACGGAGCCTCATCGATCATTCTGCAATGCAAGTACACCTCTTTTGAATAAGTCATTCGAGATATTAGCTCCTCACTTGCTTTGAGAAGATGTCAACCAATGCCCCTCCTAAATGATTCAAAAACTAAGAATTAGATTAAAAAAAAGGCATTTGTTTCTAAACTCAACCTGCAATGAGAGCGCTTGTTGACTAGTAGAGTAAATTTTTAGTCTAATATGGCTTCAGCATTACAAATACCACATTTTATTTTCACTTGGTGGTTAACGTAACATTAATCTTTGACCCTACTAGTGTGTAGCACCATTATCCAAATGAACAAACTCAACTTGGAACGTACTGAACACATTAAGATTACAAATCCAACATCATGTCATTATTCCCTTCCACTAACATCCACCAAATAAGGAACAGAGAAAACTAATACAAATGTACAATAAAAGAAAACTTTTTTTTTTCCTTCTAAGCTCTTTTGAGACAGTCATGTTACAAATATATGGAGAATTCTTGGGAGCTGTAGGTGTAGGAGGAGAAGCATTACCACCCCTTTTGTCAAAGCAAACCTCCACTGTTCCAGCCAGTTCCTCTCCTCTCTTCCCACCTTCCTCTCTGTAGAACCCAACTAGAGTGACAGCATGTGGCATCAAAGCTCTCCTCTCCATCAAATACTGTTTCACGAAGAATCTCAACAAAGCCTCGTACTGCAAGGACATGAACAATGACTCGGCGAATGACAAAGCCAACAACCCGACGGTCAAATCCATTTCCTCGGTCCTCATGACCCGAACCCACAACGACCCGGATTCCAACTATTGAAGAGAGACAAAAGACTCCAAAGCTTTGAGCTTTTCGAGCTCTTCGTTTGTTAAAACAAGGGTTCCCCTAAAGGGTTCGTCGAGGAATGAGAAGTACTTAGTGGGAGTGATGGAGTTGGTGGAGGAAGAAGAAGGGAGACAACATTTGAAGCTGTGACGATGGAGTTTGCGGAGGGGAAGAAGAGGGTTTATAGATGAATTAAAGGATTGACCTTTGGTGGGTTTAAATTCGGTTTGGAAGCGCTGGCACTGTGGTTGGAGATCTGAGTAAGGAGATAGTTTAAGTGCTGCTGCTGCTGTTGCTGTCGCCATCGAAATTGTGAGCTTATTTGAGATCCGAATCAGTTGATGATGAGATAAATTTGGAGAACATCATCGAATAATTGTGGAGGAAAACATTTTTTTTAACTGAAAGCATTCCTTTTTTTTTCATTTGAGAATTTGCTTGTGATTTTGTGATCTGGCAAAGAACACAAAATAGATGACCAATCTGATCAGTTGACGGGCGAACCAAAGCCAGCCATGTTGCCTCAAGGCTCGTGTTGTATAATATTCTTCCGAAACTCATTTTCTTTTAACATCATTTGATTCTCATTACACCTAAACAAAAATATTAAATCCTTTTTTTGTCAATTTTTTTTTTACTTTTTATTTTTCAAAATTAAAAATTGTGCCTTGTAAATAAAATATATTTTAAAATGAAATATAAAAGTATCTTTGGATACCTGTAGCTTCACTGCTCTGTTTACAACAAAAAATATGTTTTACTGATGATCTGTATATATATATACACAAAAAAAAAAGCATATTTCAGGGGCATTGGCCAAGATGATAACCTTGTTTCCCAAGAAACAAACAGAAAATTCCAAATGATCTTTAAAAATTCCGCCTCACATTTTCACATTGCTCTCATTTATACTGAGCTGATAACAAAAATCAACGTATCACTACTCTGTTTACAACAAAAAATATGTTTTACTGATGATCTGTATATATATATATACACAAAAAAAAAGCATATTTCAGGGGCATTGGCCAAGATGATAACCTTGTTTCCCAAGAAACAAACAGAAAATTCCAAATGATCTTTAAAAATTCCTCCTCACATTTTCACATTGCTCTCATTTATACTGAGCTGATAACAAAAATCAACGTATGTTCCAAAAGAATTCCCATCTTTATCACCCCCAAAGAACAAAATTATCTCATTTTTATCCGTTTGTTTTTGAGAAAGAAAAATATACACCAACCAAAATACAGCAGAAGAGCAAAAAATGAAATCGAAACCCTGAATTTTGTATCGTGTTCGCCTCGCCTCGCCTCTCACTCTCCTCTCCTCCATCTCCTGATAACTTGCAACATTATCTGATTCCATGTATCGATAGGACCCGGAAGACACCAATGTACACAGTCGTTTTGAACATGTTCTTCAACTCCGTTGGCAAACGGAAACGGATACATGTAAGGCCCCGGATGACCATCTGGTCTCATTAATGACAATTTGGTCACATCCAATATCTCAAGTCTCATCCCTCCAAATTGCTTTACCTTCACATTGGCAGCTTCGATTTCTTCGACCGCGATCAATCTCATATCCGCATCCATTCCTTCAACCATCTTCTCTCCTTTGGAAGGCTCTGTCTTGGGACAAGCACCCGCCTTATCCCATTCGCCTTCAAAATGTGAAGGAGAAAAACTGGTTAAAAACGCATCAATTCCATTACGACTACCCTTTTTCCTCTCGATTATCGACTCGAGAGCGATCTTTATCGCCTTCCTCATCACACCATAGAAGCCTATCTCGGTGTGGTTTAGTCCAGGGCAGTAATGGCAACCTAAAACAGAACCACCCTCATAATATACAGCCGGATGAAGAAACCAATGCCCTATTGAGAGTACAACCATATCTAAATGGTCCAAATCAGATCCCCACCTCTCATCAACAACATCAACATACAATTCATTGTGATCCGGACCACCTTTCGATTTCTCAACACCTCTAACAAGAAATGGCGACCAATAAACCGATACGGTAACGTTATGAGAATCGAAATGCCATGTACGAAACCTGTTATCCTCCCCGTTTGTGTAAACCAGGTTCGGATTCGAGGCGGTAGCCAGCATGCATAGGAGTGATTCCAATTGGTTCCTAGCCATTGAGTCCCCAACAAAAGCTATATGCTTGTTGCTAAGAAGGTTGAAGAAAGTGTTGGGATCAAACCTAGGGAGTTGGCATTGGTTCAGTTGCCATCGCCAGTAAAGGTAACCCAAATCTGGTCTCCCATGTGAGATGCAATTTTGACCGTCTTTGATGGTACCACAGGTTGTGCCATTGTATAAAGGCCCCCTCTTGTCATGGACCCATCTTCCATTGGTGTAGTTACATGAAGTTTTATTAGCAATTTCCTCTTCTGCAAAATAAGCAAGAATAGAAAAAAAAATCAAAACTTGATTAATAATAATAACATCATCCATTATCGAAAAAGTGAGAAAAAGTCTTGACAACTTTAGTTTCTTCGCTGCATGTACCTCTGGATAAAGATAACGAGGGAGGCGAAGGAGGAGAAGAAGAAGTGAGAATGATGCGGTTGCTGTGAGGAAGCTGATCTGTGGTGGATTGAAGGAAAGGGGAAGGATGAAAGTAGAAGCGAAAGAGAGCTATTGAGAAGAGAGCATAAAGAACATAAGGCAAGAACTTAGTGCTGAACGAACGAGAGCGAGTTGAGACTTTGAGTGGACTCGTTACACCCATGTTTCGAAAGACAGAGATTGCTCTGTGTTTTTCTGGGTAATCTCAAGTCTCAAAACTAGAACATTTTCCACCTCAGAACAACTGTGGAAATCAAAACAGTGTTTTTGTTGGTAGCGGACGAACAGAGAGAGAAAGACAGAGAAGCATAATGCTCTTTTTAGTCCCACAATTTTATTAATTTTATTATTTTAAATTGCAAAAATGAATTGTTGTTTAGTTTAGCACCGCCGGCTCCGTAAAAACTATACATGTGTGCCACTCTGTGAACATGGATATTTATCATTTTAAAATTCTACTGCTAAATAATTATATCGACTCTTCATTATTTTAAAATTAAATCGATCTCTATTATTATCTAATTTATGAAATTTCACATTAGGGGTTCATCAAATATTGTTTTCAAGTCACAAAGTAGGAGTAATAAACAGTGGACGGTGACAGCCGAAGCCACAAACGTGAACGTTTTAAGAAAAAGCATAGACTAAAAGCTTTTCTTTTCATTGCCCATTATCATGATGACCCACCTAAAAGTCATAATGGAGATGGTTAGCCATGGAGAACCATTAGGTATAGATGATAATCATGCTGTTCTTATCGAATTAAAATTCTATTTTTTCAGTTAGATTATATTTATATTAATGTTAATATTTAAATTGTGATGGTTATAAATAAGTTACCTTTTTATGATTTGAATGAAGAATTATAGGTCGATGATACACAATGAAGTTACATATAGTTTGGTTAAGAAAATTCGAAGAATATTAAGGTGAATTCAAGGGGGAAAAAAGGAAAAAAATTATATGTTTAGTATCTCAATAATTACATTTGTTTTATTTTGGTCACTCAACTATTATATTTTTAAAAATGATACCTAACGTTATATTTTTGATTTTATTTTGGTCACACACGTTAAAAAATTAACAAAATTTCTGACATGATATTTGTCAATAATGATGTGACATCGTCTTATGGTGTCCTATCAAAATCATCGTTAGTTTTTTTAACAGTGTGTGCCCAAAATGAAATTAAAACGTAACGTAAGGTATGATTTTGAAATAAAAAATAGTTTAGTGACCGAAATAGAAAAAAAGTGATAGTTGGGATACCTAACTTATAGTTTACTCAAAAAATACATCAATCAAACACAAAGTTGTGACCTATTTTCCAAGTGTTCTCTAGCAGCTTGTTTATAGAATTCTATTTTGAACTTGAATGGTATGAATCCTACAAATTTGGCCTGGGAGGAAACAACAATCAATTCATGGAAAGGGATTTCTCTTATCACATTCATTTTGAAAATTGCTTGGTCTGCTTTTATATATACTATTTGGTAGGAAAGGAATCAGTGAATCTTCCAGAAACGGTCAAGACCTGCTGAAATTATACTTAATGAAATCATTGATGTTGTTCGGTTTAGTCTTAGGAGAAAAAACTTCAATAGGCTTGATAGTAATAATCTTAACATTTGTAATACTTGGGGTTTATAGTTCTACCAATCATTGATTTTGTATAGATGTGCATAATGTTCTTTTTGTATTGATTGATTGATTGATTTGTAGCAAAAATTTGCTATTTTGGATAATAAATTTTTTATTTGTCCAAAAAAAAAAGTTGTGACCAAATAATTTATTATACAATTGTTTCACTTAAAAATATATATATTTTTAAAAGTTTTCATTTTAATTCATATATTTTTAATATCTTTTCAATTTGAACAAAAAATTAAAAATATATATATATATTTTCCTACGACTTAGTCCTTACTGCAGCATTAATATTTTTCTCTCAACAATTTTTCACGATTCATATTTTTTAAATAAACTTTTAATTTATTTTTATATTTACCGGTCTAATATCAATTAATTTATTAATAGAATAAATTTCTATCTAACAATAAAACAATATTGGTTACGTACGTAACTTTCTGCATTGCAGATGCTCTGATTCTCAAAGCATACGCAATGTCCGTTGTGACTTAAACATTATCATCTGTAGAACAGTGAAGTTGATAGATATCAGTAAGTACATCATCATGAGAACCGAAACAAATAAAAACATTACAAAAAATCGTTTCAGGACATAATTAAAACACTAAAAATAACAAAATCCCAGCTTACTTGATCATGAACACGAAGCTGAAAGTTTTCGAGCTGTGAAGATCTCAATGCAATGGACAGAGGCATCAAAGACCAACTCAGTAATGGAGATCATTAACTAAAGAAGGGTGAAAGACATGTTAACCGACAGTAATAAAAAGAAGTGAGAGTTGGGGTACTGACGATGAACTGTTAATTTAAATAAAATTTATTAATACATGCGGCATTATATCATTAGCAGGAATATAAAAAGGCACACAAAAGAGACATAGGATCTTGTTCACCACAATGACGTAAAATTAAAATTTATTATGAATTAGTCATTTACCAGCTGAACAAAATTAAGTTTGGATAAAATATTTTACTAATCTATGTTCCTATCACCGACTAGAGTCCTTTGGGTGGACTCCACCTCCGTAAGACTGGATTTATTTGAATACGAATATTTCGGTGTTATCTGCCACTATTTTCAGTTTTATCGGAGGTGTATTTCGCTCTAGTAATAATGAGTGAATCTCATATATCGTCACGCTTCTTTAAGTCGAGCTGTGAGGCTTTTACAATGGTCTTTAAGTGGCATGAACCTACGATTTTGAACAGCTCCAAGTGCAATTCGACTATATAGAAACTATAAAGTTAGTCATTACTCCGAGCACATACTTCAGTTCCTTCCTACTAGTAAAAGTCATTTATGTTATTCAAAATCAAGCATAGTTTATGGAGCTTTTTTAGATCCCACGATAATGCGATATGGTGGTTGATTGACTGACGAAGATGTCCGCTCTTGATCACTATCGAGTTTCATTGTTTGATCTTGTGCCACCCAATATTCAACTGCTTGTTTCAAAGGATATAACGAGACCTCCGTATTGTAGAATTGTTCGTAATTAAATCACTTATTTTTTTAATATACTTTAATTATTGGTTTGAAGTCACCTTCCAATTAAAAATAATAATAAGTATATTATATGAACCATAATAACGTAAAATTAAAGTTTACTATGAATCAATCATTTACCAACTGAACAAAATTAACATTTGGATAAAATATTTGTAGATGCTCGGTTTTGTCCGGGGACTTCGTTCGAGTTCTAGATCCAGTACGAGGTACAGTGTGATTAGTGAGAGCCCAAATGAGTCCAAACCAGTTGGAGGCCTATCTCAAGCCCAATGGACAGCAGTTGCATGTAGAAAAAAAGAGAGATTGACGTTGGTTTTTAGCAGTTAAAATAATCAAATAGTGGGGGATTAACTACTGAAAACTAAATGAGGGGAACCACTAAAAAGACTATGAACCAAATAGAAAAAAAAAGATCAACGAGGAGTCATCAGAGGAAAATATCAACCATCACGAGAGGACGAGGAGCCGAAAATGCTAGTAGCTATCATCAATTTCGCGGTGTAAAAGGATACGACAAGAAACAATAGTATAATCTTACAATTCAAAAACAGAGAAAGCAATAGAGGTATATTTTTTCGAGGAATTCTTCTTCAATTGCTTTTGTTTTCCAGTTTGTTTTTTTTCATTTTGTGTGTGTGTGCGCTAATATTATTTTGAATTAAATAAAAAGAGAATTTGGGATTGAATCACTTGGGTTATACGAATTCAAGTGGAGTCTTATTGACTACATTCGTTCTATGTTCGAGCTATGTCAAAAAAAAAGTTTGAAATTAGATTAGTAAGCATAAGTTATAAAACAAGACAAAGTGCAGGGGGAAAAGAGAGAAATTTACCTTTCTTCTTCGTTTTCTTTCATCGTTGAGGGGCTTTGAAGAGAGGGCTTATGGGTTTCGAAGAGTGTAAAGGAAGTTAGAAAGAGAAGTTGAGTCCATCGCCGGAGAAGTAGAGAGTCACCGTTGAGGGTGGTCATCGGAATGGTTTTCTCGATTATGAAGGTTAGGCGTGCGCCAAAGTCCTCGGTTGAGAGTGGGTTCTTTTGGGATATAGAAAACCGAAGTAGTTAGGCTTCTTTCGTCGTTGGGTTGCCGGTCGGTTAAGGTGAAGTACAATTGCAGTCGAATAGAAGTTGGCCATCAAGGTGTGGTGGCTGAATGGTGGCGACGGAGGCTCTCGGTTCAGCTATCGGGGAAGAAAGGGAGAATGGAGAAGGGTACTGGAAACGACAGTGCTAAATTTAGGAGTTTAGCTTAGGTTTTTTTAGTTTAGCTTATATATTAAAGCATTTGGGTTAATTAAGTTTTGGCCATCGATTTTGTTTGGTAAACTCAGATTTTCAGTCCCTCAAAAGTTGCATGTTTTCACGTTTAAATCATGGATTTGTGCTTTTTTTATTTATTTATTATTAAACACTAGTTCATAAATATTATGTATATATTTATATCGAATATGTTTCAGTTAATATGTTGTATGTTGTTTTTGTGTATTACAGCATGCTTTTAACTTATACATTACAACATAAATGGATTACAACATGTAATTTTGTTATGAATATGTTACTTTGCATGATAGCTCTTTATTTAATCTTTAATGTATATGTGATCGTATGACATTTTTTTTACAATTTGTATGATATCCTCATGTGCATAACTCGACATATTACATAATTGGATTAAGGGTAATATACTTTTAATTTAAAATTGTTTTAAGTGGGTTGTCATAACGCATTTGAGGTCCGCTTTTAATAATTTTAAAATAAAAATATATCCCATTAATGACGCCTAAAAATTGATCCATCACTTTAAAATTTGGGAATGGAAGAAAAAGAAATGTTCGACTATTTAAATTTATCGAGAAAATGTTGTTATAGCTTTTAAGATCTGGTCTCGATATTTGTAAATAACCGAACATTCTTTATCTTTCTAAAACGACTTGGTAATCTTAATTTAATTTATTTAGTGCTTTTGAATATTATTAAATTCACATCTTTGTTTTATGGGATCAAAAATCAAATTAAGTTCGAATTTATAAAGTTCATTGCAAAGCCGTTAATTAATCGACTAGGTACAGATTTAGGGCGTTGTGGGGGTGTTAAT